CTTTCGCGCTATTGAACAACAAAATTTAAACACAAAATTTCGAGCGCTGTTTTTGAAAATTTTAAAAGGTCTGAGGTATTTTATGTAAAGTGCCCCCCAAAATTCAAATATCGGTTTCAAAATCCAGGGGCCGCGATATCAGCCTGATTGATTGAGGAATATGAATTTTGGACAAAATCGTCTGAACAGTTTAGGCGCTGGCGTTCACCTTGGACGGACAGACGGACGTCTGTCTGTCAATCGAATTTTTGGTATCAAGAACCCCCCCCCCCCAAAAAAATGGATTTTGAATACAACCCGTGTTAGAGGATTTTGTTTCCTTCATTTTAGCAACAGGATTTATTCACTCTTTCGTTAGCAGAGCCCGACAATAATACTTTATCTGGCGGAAATACGTAGTTTTCCACCGCATGACTACATAACTTTCTCTTCCTACAAAGAATTCATAAGTCGAGAAAGTAAAAAATTGAAGCTATTTTTGAGAAAATGGCGTTTGAGAGTTTCTGAAAATGTGGAATTTTGAGTTAGTTTTGTGCAGAAAATGATTGAGTTGTATATAACTTGATTTGACAGTATTTAAAGCACAAGTATTTATAAATACAATAATGTGAACAAATTGCCGCTAATATAAATATTAACATGAAAGAAATGTCAAAAAATTTCATTCTTATAATTTTTGAAAAAACACATAAAATTGAGGAATTTTCTAATAGTGCATTTAGTACTAACCCTACCAAATGTTTAAAGAAAAAATGTTTTGAGAAAATCTTGTTTTTATCATTTTTTTTAAATTGCACAAATTTCATGGAATATTGCGCGAAATCTACTCACCTTTTCAAACAGTTAACATGGTCTTACTATGGAGAGCAAATTTTATTTTCAGGAAAAATCTCTATCTGCAATTAGTAGTACACCGGAAAAATTCATACTTTTGAAATTTTCGAATATTCAAAGTTAAACGTGAAAATCGGAACTATGATACACTTTATAAATGTATGTTACTATATTCGTACATTACATATAAAGACAAAATGTTGAGCCTTTTTTGAGAAAATTTTGAAAATGTCCGGAAGGGTTCATGCTAAGTACCCCAAAATTTTGAAGAATGGTTTTCCAAATCTCAGTTTTGATTCGAGCCAAATAAATAAGTGTTTCTTCAATTTGGTAAAAATCTAACGCATGATTTAGGCGCTAGTGATATTCTCGGACAACAGATGGACAGACAGTTATATGTACACGTAAGACTCCTTGGCTTGGTCCATGGCTTTTTGGCTGTCGGGGTGACGCCGCGTCGTCGGCTGAGAGGCCGACTTTTCGCCGTCATATTGCAGGCTTCCTCAGGGTAGTGACACATTAATGCTAAGTTATCTAGATATGTAATTGAATTGATTCCGTGGCGACACTCGGGCCTTGAAACCCACTCTGACCACGCAAATTTTGCCACGCTCCTTTCAGCAACTAGCGAAAAAATGAGGTATTTCTTGGGCGAGGAAACACGCGATTTGAATTTAGCTCATATGCGTCATTTAGGCTTGATATCTTTTACATGCAAGTAAATCAACTAACATGGGACAGTCGCCTTTACTTCCTCTGCGAAGGACGGCGTACGAAGGATTTTTTCGCCCTTAATAATCCACGGCATCAATCGGATTTGAGCCCGGCAACTTGGGTATATCAGTCCAATACGCTGACCGTTAAACCATCGCCGCTCCCATGTCATACTCGGGTTGACAATGGCTTTTCACAAGGTACCGATGCGTTGTTTCGATGAATTTCCTAGATTGCCTAATCTTGGTTTCCTCCTGCTGCTGAGCAGCCATTTTCGAGGACACCTTATCCCGAGTGTTCCAGTCTTCGCCTTTGAGTAAGTAGGCGAGACGCAGATGCAGATGGTACAACGTTCGTTCCGTTTTTGCAAGGTCCGCTCTGGTTTCGTTAATGCGTTGACGTACTAAGGTCGAACCAGCCCTCTGCAAGATGTGAGTGGCGGCCGGGGATTGTATGTCGTGCTTCAAGGTGACGAATTCCGGGTTAACATCTTCATCCCTGCACCTCAGTAAGAAGGCCAGTTGGCACAGGAGGCGTGCTCTTTTGTCCCGTAAATTTGTAAATTTCTTGGTGTCTTGGAAAAGTTGGAGGCTGGACAATATATACCATTGGAGGCGCAAGATTACTGTGTCACTACCCTGAGGAAGCCTGCAATATGACGGCGAAAAGTCTGCCTCTCAGCCAACGAAGCGGCGTCACCCGGACAGCCTTGAAGTCACGGACCAAGCCAAGGAGTCTTACGTGTACATTATAACTGTCTGTCCATCTGTTGTCCGAGAACATCACTAGCGCCTAAGTCACGGGCAGAGACGAACATTAAGAAAACACTTTTTCGGTATCAGGGGAAAACGTGTTTTTCCGTTGAAATCTCGAAATCGATTTACCGCAGCATTACATAACTTTCCCTATACAACGTATATTACTACGTATACGGGAAAGTAAAAATTAATTGAAAGTGTTATAAAATATCAGACAACTGTATAACGGCTTATAAAAGTATGATACCGATTTTCTCGAGTTTTAATTTATTTTACAAGTTTTTATTAATTTTTCCCGTCAGCGCCATCATAGGGCCCCTTGAGTTGCAGGGCCCAGGCCGATGGCCCGGTCTGCACGTGTCTAGCGCCAGCGCTGCTGCTTAACGTGGCTCGGTTCGCCCCATCGCATCGCCCACGTGGAAGAAATGCCCGGAGAGAAAATTGCGCGGGCGAGCGATTCGTTCGCAGCGCCGCCCTGTTCCCCGTCGCCGCCGAAGGGCAGCGCTGTGCGCAGCGCTCAGTTTTCATTTGCACGTGGGGCTCTGCCGCGCTGTTCCGAATGAGAAAGCAGCGCGGGCGTTCTCTTTCATTACTTTGGCGCCGCCCGTGCGCGCTGCATATTACAAGGCCACTAAACGCTGCGGCCGCTCCTTGGCGCGCTACAGATGACGCGCAAATGCGGCGAATTAGGCTCTGATGAATCTTTAAGGCTCTCTCGAACAGTGCGTGGCGAAATCGCACCGCGTGGAGTAGGAAGTAGCGGAAGTGAGCGGAACGCGTAGTGTAAACGAGGTGAATGCTGATTGAGATAGCTGAAGGCAACAACTCTTGCTGTTGGTACATTGGCTGCCAAATTAATAAAAATTTATTTCGATTCGAGCAGTTCGATTTATCACGCTTCGAGCAGTTCAGTTTCGCTGCACTAGAAGACGTTTTAGAAGAAAAGATCACACGTTTCAAACTTCCCGTCGCGGAAATTTTCTTCCCAATTGACCAAATACTCATTTCTTGTACAAAGTTCTTTGAAATAGGTTGTAAACTGCTTCAACCGATTCGAAAAGTCACCAGTAGATTGCACCACCTCCTGGGCGACTGCAACGAATGATTTACTCATTGTCAGATTTCCCGGAAAATAAATTTTTTCCACTCTGACGCGACAAGTTCGCATCTTTTCAAAATCAGAGGAGCCGCGAGCGGTTTTGTAGAGATCGTGCAGAGAAGCGAAGTGAAACGTGTATTAGGCGCATGGAAAGTTTGATTCGGCGCGTTGGCAAGCAATTCCCAGCATATTTCGGCAGTCCCTGTGACCTCAAACTCCAAAACGCGGCAGGAAAGAGACGTGCATAAGCACCCAGCGTGAGATTCGAAAGGAAAACGTTTATTTTAGTCCAGACAGAGGTAACTATGACAATCTCGAAAGAATAGAAAGAATTGAAACCAACAAAATTGGGGTACATAATAAGAGGGGTACATGTTATGCCTCTCTTGTTAATAGCGCGTTAGTTTTCGTAACCCTCACATTAAACCGTTCAAGAGTAGAATAACAACCTAACGAACCTTAAATATATGCGCGGATGTCCCATCGAAGAACCAAATTTAGTCCATCTATATTTATATTAAAAAAATGAAAGGTTTCTCGTACACTGCGGGCAAGAATACCTCCCTTACACAGGAATTTAGCAGTTTCAAGAGATTTTCGAAACAGAAATTCTAGTTTGCTGCTCTCTGATTAGTTAATTTCGGGTGGAAAATAATGAAAAAGGATTTATTTTTCAACGATAAACTTAATGTTGTTGTGGGAAGTTGGGGATTCAAATGTTCGTACATGTCACTTCGTAATTGTCCTAAAAGTGGCTGACTATTGAGGATATTTCTTATGTGCATCAAAAGTATGTGAATTATTCATTACTGTTCTTTTATGTTTAAAAAATACATCTTAAACCTAAATTCAAATCGTAGACACAAAAACTGTAACATTTGCTCTTCACTTTTACTGTGTTTGTTCTGGTTTATAATAAGAAGGTTTTGTTCTTATTCAATCTTCTCTATTGCTTGCAAGAACACATTTTCATTTAATTGATATATTGTTAAGTCACAAAGGAACAAGTTATTCCTTGAAACTACCAGTTATAGGATACGACGCATTAATTCTAATATTTAATTAAATGACAGACATTTAAATTTACTGTGTGGGTTTGTCGATGATGGATAAATAAATTAATGACATCATTTACAGATGTATCTGAGAGAAGCAGGAACAAGGCACTGGGTTGTCAGAAACTAAAGAAAAAACTCCTTTAGTTGCACCAGAAGATATGTGAAATATTCATTACTTTTATATTAAGCATGGCATTGCATTTATAAGATAAATACTTTCAAATCCCTAATTCATATCATTCCAGACAAAATGAAACATTTTAAATTGTTTTCTCTTCTTCTACTCATTATCTTCTGTATCTAAAAAGGTTTTGCAATCTGAATTTTGTCTTGTATTCCAAAGAACTTATTTTCACTTGACTGAAATTGTGCTTTACCAATACATAATGTGAAGTAAAGCGAGTTTCAGACCATCAGTTATAAAGAGAGAGAAGAAACAGGTATTGATTTTTAAATATGATTAAATTGTAGGTAATTTGAACTTATTATCGTGTGGGTTTATAAACAATAGAATATAAATAATGTCTTCTTTTACAGATACAACAGGAGGAAGAAAAGAAAATGAGGAACTCCGAATTACTTGCAGGTGTAAGTGAGTGTTGGTGTCCGTGCGTGCTTCATTTTTTAAATTCTTATTAATTAGCATTTCGCAGAAGGATTAAAGAAAGGAAGTTGTGATCGGTGAGAACGACATTATTTTCTATTGAAACTACTGGTACAATTCCTGTATAACGTTCATACTGGTATCGGAATAAAAGAAGGGGATATTAATCCATATCATAAGTGAATATCTTGTGCCAGATGTAACGCTATGAAGATAGCTTAGAATTACAGTGAATGTAATGTCGATCTAATACGAAGCTGCTATGAATGACATTTACAGAAAAAAGTTAATAGTGTATTTTTTCTGGTATGGTACTTCTAAAAACAGATTTTGTTGATCACATTTCCTGTAACGAATAGTATGTGATGTATTGTATGTAGTAATAAATAACTTTTCAGCAACACAGATGAAGCCATTGTTGCAGAAAATAAGGCTGTGTTGCATATGAGAGCCTTTGAGTAAAATTCTATAACATTCCCCCCAATTAATACAGCAATAAATATTCTCACAATCACTGGAGGTACATTATAGTCATTTTAATAAATAAATAACATTAATTCATTTTCTGAAAATAGTATCATTATCATCGTTACATGGGAACTTTCCAAAATACAGCTCTCGTATATTTGTATTTACCTTCGCTTTCAGTCCACAAATTTAAAAGCATAATTTATTATTCTTCCAGTACTGGTATTTTATGGTACCTACTTGCGTATTTGTTCACATTCAAACGGATTTTTGACACACATTATAAATTACAAAGGGTTTCGCAGTAGTTCGATACAATTAACATTAAAAGCAGTACTAATTCATGCCGTATGTACCATCAGACCTGCGTATGATTTAAAGGCAAATGAGGCAGACAAGGGGTAGAAAATAAACTAAATACAAATTCCTGCGCCACGTGAACTGCGAGTTGGCGCGTGTTTACGCAGCCTCCAATCGCGTGAAGCCTTTTGCCTTTGACTCTGGTTTAAAAAGCGAGATTTTAACGTGCAACAAACATCTCAGAGCAGAAATAATTGCAGACTGACTATTCGTCTACAACCATTCAACTCTCTCTAGCATCGACTGTCTGGAAGAGTATTCTAGTGTCCGACAGTTCTGATGGGTAGTTTCCCGGGATTTCTCCGATTAACATCTGGTGAATGCCGGAGCAATACCCTAACAAACGGACCACGAACCACACGCAATATTTCCTTCATCTTTCTCGTCTTATCCTCACCCCTTACATACCCACTAAGATGCATTACACACCACACATGCCGAGAGACCGGTCGGGAGCTTAGAGCTAGACCTGCTGTGGCGGTTCCCACTAGCGGGACGTACCTGGTTGGGGAAAACGCCTCTAGTCGAGGGTGGGTCAGCGCCGCATCTCGCCATCCAACGGGGAAATTAACCGCCACCGAGCGGTAACGAAAACTTCATGCCTTCAACCCTTCCGGGCCTAATGACCTCGGCAGTTGAAATCATCAAGCAATCCATCTCTACCCAGTGCAAACGGAATTCCTTCCAGCTCGTTTGCGTGAAGGCGGTTGGCTCCTCACCGGATCGTTGGCCTTCGTCGCTCGAAGGGGAGGACGTTGCATCGACTAATGCAGGGTTGTCCAACGATGGTCCCCGGGTCACATGCGTTCCACGCGCCATTTATTGCGCCCCGCGAAAGTTATGAATCAAAAGGGTAAGTCCTTTTGACTAATCAGGTGAGTCAGCACTTTGCAGTAATCAGGCGTGAATCGGCCGTGTAATAAAACACATAGTAAAGATTTCAGTTGTGGGCCTCGCATGTTGGACACCCTTGGCCCAATGCAATCGCAAATCCGCACGCGCGCTGTTGTTCTGGCAGATGGCAGCGACGGCAAACACCCCGGACCACTTGAGGAGGACGTCCACGCGCTTAAGAGCAGAGGCAGTTTCGTCAGGGGTCCGATGTGTTGAAACTAGGGCTCGATGGCAGTGGCAGGATGCCCCTCACTAGATGGATAGGTAGGTCTACTATGGCTGCTGTCTGGAAGAGAGTTTTAGCGAGGCGGGCGAGGGGGAGGGTGCCGCCGCCGGGGGCGTGCTCTTGGAAGCGGTGTCGGCTAGCGCAGAGGGAAGGGGTGTGATGACTTCTGGCGGCGGGCCCCAAACTCGTCAGCGTGGAAGGTCTGCCGCGAGAGGGGCTGGTAGAGAAAACTGCCGGAGGCGTTTGAGCGGAGGCCCTGGTGCTCGCTAGCCGCGACTTGCGAGGAGAGGCCTTCGCCACGCACGAAAGGCCAGGGCCGGCGCCAGCACTTGAAGCGCTGGGAGCTTGTGTCTGGCTTGCCTCAAGCATTTGCAGCGCTGAAGGCTGCCAGAGGAGCGTAAGTATTGGATAGTAAATATCTACAAAAAAATCTCCGGGTCGTGTTTCACTGACATCACAAAGACGCCACATTGGTAGTTTTGCACACGTCCCATTAGTGGTTTCTCCGATCAACACCAGGGTAATGGCTGAGCAGCACCCTAACATGGCCACAGTCCGCGAGCGACGTCTCCTTGCCCTATCCTCACTCTATACTTGCACTACACTACCATACAATGTGCACTAGGTTGCAAACAGAGGCAGAGATAATAGCATGATAAAGTTAGCGTAAAACAAGCACGAATGGTGGTTCAAGATATTTTTTGCAATAGTCATTGAGGTCGCTTGTATTGTATTCGTATTGTATTGTATTCGCTTGAATTGCTATTTCCTTTGAAAAAAGTTTGATTTATTACATTAACGTGGACAAGTTACAAGTTACAACATTAATTTAGACAAGAATTATATTTCATAAAGTAATTATGAAATGTTGTTATGCGAACAGAGGTTCTCAGAAAGGGGGTATCTGCATTACTTCTGTGACGCTCTACCAACTACTGTCATCTGAGAGATCGACCGCGTGTGAAGCAACATCAATTGGCGCGGTTTGTAAATATTTGGAGAGCACTTTTGTCATTCTGTTTCTACAAAGGACACCAATACTAACTAATTGTCAAATTCCCTTTCTCTCTCTGCCTCTCCCTACTAAATATTTTATGTGCCTTTCTCTCAAACGCAATATCGAGTAATGAGAAGTCAAAATCGCACTTCAGTCGGCCGTTCACTCGGCGTGTACCGTTTCTTCTCACCCCTTCCCCTGTTGAGTGGCGTGGCCCCGCCCCCGCGCCGCAGGCACCCTGCCCGCGGCGGGCGGGGGCGGCCACTTGTCGGCGGTCGGGCGCCACCGCTAATTGAGTGTTTCAATCGACGCAAAGCGCCCAAAAAACGCCGCCAGCGAGCCGGGCGGGCGCGAAGGCCGTGTAGCTGCCAGGCCAGGCGCCCGCCTCCCCGCGCACGGCCTCCTGGCCGCACGCGCCAATCAGCCCTGCCCGCCCGCCCCGTGCCCCGCGCGGCTGTCGCGCCCCTTGATTGCGGCAACGGCCTCGCCCTCATCACGCATTCATGGCCCTCGTTTGCCGCACCTTTCAGCCTAGAGGCGAATTTCATATTTCAGTTTATGGGCTCTATTCTCCCAATTTTTTGTACACAAACTTGTGTCCTTTTTTCTACTGTAAAGACTGCACTGTCGTTTGTGGACATTTTTTTTTCAATACCTCACCGTCTGAAGTGTGCTTCTTTTCAGGGGCTATTCGCGGATATCAACGCTGCGAATGGGTTGTATGACACTGAGACCAGGTTTACGGAAAGAAAAATATCAAATAGTTGACAATTTTCAGAATTCGACTTTACTGGTGAATACATGGTGTCTCATAGTATCTGTTACAACTTCTAGAAAATATTGATATGTTTGCCAATGAGTTGATTTGTAAAATATTTATATCAGATGTTACACGTGTGATCCCTCTGATTGGTATGCATATTGGGTGCAGCGGCTTGATATATATTCGTAACTCGTTCTGTTCAACTGAACGAGTGTTTGCCAAACAGTTTGCCTTCCAATCAGCCTCAAATATCACATACAACATTTAGTTTTATGTCAATTCTCATGACATCTTTACTGCTAAAATGTTATCGTGGTCAACTCTACGCATTCCCTAGACGATGATAATAATAATGAGCCAGAAACACTACACTGAATTATTGTCTTCAAACACAATTTTAATTAAAATAATTATATTCTCAAAAAGCGTAATTTCTATGAACATTGTTTCTGTTAATACTCCATGCTTCTTGGTTTAATAAAAAATACAGCCGAATAAGGAGGTGAAAAGAGCTCGCAAACCAAATCAATTATCATCATACTCATATCAAGGAGAATAACACTAGTGATGCTACAGAATAGCACAGACTTTCCCGTATTAGTTTAATGTTTTCTTTGGTCGCGGCAAGCTATTCGGCCTTGCCACATACACTTGCCTACTACCATCTATCGCCGCTCAAAGTACGTTCTTTTAAAGATTTCTCAGTTTTTCGATTTCCTAACAGCAGAATGGAAATATTCTTTTAAGAATATTAGAAAACTTCATCCTAAATGGCAATTTTGTTTAAAACATTTGCAGCCTTTTTAAAAAACACTGGCGTTTAAGTGCTCCTACAAATTCGAAATTTAACTTTTTTTTCACAAAAAAAATTGAGTTTTGGAAAAACTTGAAATTGAATAATTTGAAATACATTAACTCGCAAGTATAATAGTGTTTACAAATTGCTGGAAATGTGCATAATAACCGCGGTAAAGTAATTACATTTGTGTAGCTTTTGAAAAAAACCGACAACAAAAAAACGAAATGAACTTGACGTCATATTACAGAGTGGAATTAATACTAGCAGTTTTGAAAGAAAACTGTTGAGTTTTTGAGAAACTTTATTTGAAATTATTTAAAGCGCATGTACTCATAAATATAATACTGGAAACAAATAAACGCTAGTATAAGTATTAACGACGTAAGACATAACTCATTTTACATTTACATATTAAAATTACATTTTTGTAATTACAAAAAGAAGCAAATATTGCGCAAATATTTCAGAAAAAATGTA